ACAAAACACAATTTCACATCATTCCGGGTCCATTTCTCAGAAAAAAGCTTCAATCAGGCTGAAACGTCTTAGAAAAGTAGAATCTATTGAGTTGTAAATTATTCCTGTGTTTCATGATGATAGCACATTCCTAAGGGGGTCAAATCAGGTCATGAAGGTCACCGGATCACTTGTTCCTTAAAGGCGGTATTCCAAACACACATTTGGGGGCTTATAACTTGGCTTCTGAATGTCTCAGAGAGGTCAGGTTTGTTTGAGGGTACTCCAATCAACAGCCCCTATTACCCCAAAAAGGAATGGAGTCATTAGCACTTATGGTTTTTAAATGGCACCCAGAATTATGTTGCACGAAGCACAATTTCACATTATTCTGGGTCCATTTGTGTGATACCAAGGTCCAATCAGGCTGAAACTTTACAGGAAGGTAGAATCTATTGAGTTGTAAGTGATCTGAACGTTTCATGATAATAGTACATTCCTAAGGGGGTCAAACCATGTCCCAAAGGTCACCGGGCCTGGTGTCACTTTAAAGAAGTAGTACAGTTACACCTTTGTGGGCTTATAACTTTTCTTCTGAATGTCCTAGAGAGGTCAGGTTTGTTTTCGAGTACTCCAATTAACAGCCCCTATAACCCCAAAAAGGAATGGAGTCATTAGCACTTATGGTTATTAAATGGCACCCAGCATTATGTCGCACAAAGCACAATTTCACATCATTCCGGGTCCATTTCTCAGAAAAAAGCTTCAATCAGGCTGAAACGTCACAGAAAAGTAGAACCTATTGAGTTGTAAATGATTCCTGTGTTTCATGATGATAGCATATTCCTAAGGGGTTCAAATTAGGTCATAAAGGCCACCGGATCACTTGTTCCTTAAAGGCGGGGTTCCAAAAACACCTTTGGGGGCTTATAACTTTGCTTCTGAATGTCTCAGAGAGGTCAGGTTTGTTTGAGGGTACTCCAATCAACAGCCCCTATTACCCCAAAAAGGAATGGAGTCATTAGCACTTATGGTTTTTAAATAGCACCCAGAATTATGTTGCACGAAGCACAATTTCACATCATTCTGGGTCCATTTGTGTGAAAACAAGGTCCAATCAGGCTGAAACGCTACAGGAAGGTAGAATCTATTGAGTTGTAAGTGATCTGAACGTTATATGATGATAGCACATTCCTAAGTGGGTCAAACCATGTCCCAAAGGTCACTGGGCCTGGTGTCACTTTAAAGAAGTAGTCCTGTTTCACCTTTGTGGGCTTATAACTTTTCTTCTGAATGTCCTAGAGAGGTCAGGTTTGTTTTAGAGTACTCCAATTAACAGCCCCTACAACCCCAAAAAGTAATGGAGTCATTAGCACTTATGGTTTTTAAATGGCACCGAGAATTATGTCGCACAAAACACAATTTCACATCATTCCGGGTCCATTTCTCAGAATAAAGCTTCAATCAGGCTGAAACATCACAGAAAAGTAGAATCTATTGAGTTGTAAATGATTACTGTGTTTAATGATGATAGCACATTCCTAAGGGCGTCAAATCAGGTCATAAAGGTCAACGGATCACTTGTGCATTAAAGGCGGCGTTCTAAACACACCTTTGGGTGCTTATAACTTGGCTTCTGAATGTCTCAGGTTTGTTTTAGGGTACTCCAATCAACATCCCATATTACCCCAAAAGGAATGGAGTCATTAGCACTTATGGTTTTTAAATGGCACCCAGAATTATGTTGCACAAAGCACAATTTCACATCATTCTGGGTCCATTTGTGTGAAACCAAGGTTCAATCAGGCTGAAACGTCAAAGAAAAGTAGAATCTATTGAGTTGTAAATGATTCCTGTGTTTCATGATGATAGCACATTCCTAAGGGGGTCAAGTTAGGTCATAAAGGTCACCGGATCACTTGTTCCTGAAAGGCGGTATTCCAAACCCACCTTTGGGGGCTTATAACTTGGCTTCTGAATGTCTCAGAGAGGTCAGGTTTGTTTGAGGGTACTCCAATCAACAGCCCCTATTACCCCAAAAAGAAATGGAGTCATTAGCACTTATGGTTTTTAAATGGCACCCAGAATTATGTCGCACAAAGCACAATTTCACATCATTCCGGTTCCATTTCTCATAAAAAAATTTCAATCAGGCTGAAACGTCACAGAAAAGTAGAATCTATTGAGTTGTAATTGATTCCTGTGTTTCATGATGATAGCACATTCCTAAGGGAGTCAAGTTAGGTCATAAAGGTCACCGGATCACTTGTTCCTTAAAGGCAGCGTTCTAAACACACATTTGGGGGCTTATAACTTGGCTTCTGAATGTCTCAGAGAGGTCAGGTTTGTTTTAGGGTACTCCAATCAACAGCCCCTATTACCTTAAAAAGGAATGGAGTCATTAGCACTTATGGTTTTAAATGGCACCCAGAATTATGTTGCACGAAGCACAATTTCACATCATTCTGGGTCCATTTGTGTGAAAACAAGGTCCAATAAGGCTGAAACGCTACAGGAAGGTAGAATCTATTGAGTTGTAAGTGATCTAAACGTTATATGATGATAGCACATTCCTAAGGGGGTCAAACCATGTCCCAAAGGTCACCGGGCCTGGTGTCACTTTAAAGAAGTAGTCCAGTTACACATTTGTGGGCTTATAACTTTTCTTCTGAATGTCCTAGAGAGGTCAGGTTTGTTTTATAGTACTCCAATTAACAGCCCCTATAGCCCCAAAAAGGAATGGAGTCATTAGCACTTATGGTTATTAAATGGCACCCAGAATTATGTCGCACAAAGCACAATTTCACATCATTCTGGGTCCATTTCTCATTAAAAAAAGCTTCAATCAGGCTGAAACATCACAGAAAAGTAGAATCTATTGAGTTGTAATTGATTCCTGTGTTTCGTGATGATAGCACATTCCTAAGGGGGTCAAGTTAGGTCATAAAGGTCACCGGATCACTTGTTCCTTAAAGGCGGTAATCCAAACACACCTTTGGGGGCTTATTACTTGGCTTCTGAATGTCTCAGAGAGGTCAGGTTTGTTTGAGGATACTCCAATAAACAGCCCCTATTACCCCAAAAAGGAATGGAGTCATTAGCACTTATGGTTTTTAAATGGCACCCAGAATTATGTTGCACGAAGCGCAATTTCACATCATTCTGGGTCCATTTGTGTGATAACAAGGTCCAATCAGGCTGAAACGTGACAGGACGGTAGAATCTCTTGAGTTGTAAGTGATCTGAACGTTTCATGATGATAGCACATTCCTAAGGGGGTCAAACCGTGTCCCAAAGATCACCGGGCCTGGTGTCACTTTAAAGAAGTAGTCCAGTTACACCTTTGTGGGCTTATAACTTTTCTTCTGAATGTCCTAGAGAAGTAAGGTTTGTTTTAGAGTTCTCCAATCAACAGCCCATATTACCCCAAAAAGGAATGGAGTCATTAGCACTTATGGTTTTTAAATGGCACCCAGAATTATGTTGCACAAAGCACAATTTCACATCATTCTGGGTCCATTTGTGTGAAAACAAGGTTCAATCAGGCTGAAAAGTTACATGAAGGTAGAATCTATTGAGTTGTAAGTGATCTGAACGTTTCATGATGATAGCACATTCCTAAGGGGGTCAAACCATGTCCCAAAGATCACCAGGCCTGGTGTCACTTTAAAGAAGTAGTCCAGTTACACCTTTGTGGGCTTATAACTTTTCTTCTGAATGTCCTTAGAGAGGTCAGGTTTGTTTTAGAGTACTCCAATTAACAGCCCCTATAACCCCAAAAAGGAATGTAGTCATTAGCACTTATGGTTTTTAAATGGCACCCAGAATTATGTCGCACAAAGCACAATTTCACATCATTCCGGGTCCATTTCTCAGAAAAAAGCTTCAATCAGGCTGAAACGTCACAGAAAAGTAGAATCTATTGAGATGTAAATTATTCCTGTCTTTCATGATGATAGCACATTCCTAAGGGCGTCAAATCAGGTCATAAAGGTCACCGGATCACTTGTTCCTTAAAGGCGGCCTTCTAAACACACTTTTGGGTGCTTATAACTTGGCTTCTGAATGTCTCAGTGAGGTCAGGTTTGTTTTAGGGTACTCCAATCAACAGCTCATATTACCCCAAAAGGAATGGAGTCATTAGCACTTATGGTTATTAAATGGCACCCAGAATTATGTTGCACAAAGCACAATTTCACATCATTCTGGGTCCATTTGTGTGAAAACAAGGTTCAATCAGGCTGAAACGTTACATGAAGGTAGAATCTAATGAGTTGTAAGTGATCTGAAAGTTTCATGATGATAGCACATTACTAAGGGGATCAAACCATGTCCCAAAGGTCACCGGGCATGGTGTCACTTTAAAGAAATAGTCCAGTTACACCTTTGTGGGCTTATAACTTTTCTTCTGAATGTCCTAGAGAGGTCAGGTTTGTTTTAGAGTACTCCAATTAACAGCCCCTATAGCCCCAAAAAGGAATAGAGTCATTAGCACTTATGCTTATTAAATGGCACGCAGAATTGTGTCGCACAAAGCACAATTTCACATCATTCCGCGTCCATTTCTCAGAAAAAAGCTTCAATCAGGCTTAAACTTCACAGAAAAGTAGAATCTATTGATTTGTAATGGATTCCTGTGTTTCATGATGATAGCACATACCTAAGGGCGTCAAATCAGGTCATAACGGTCACCGGATCACTTGTTCCTTAAAGGTGCCTTAGTCAGTTTTGAAATTTTATGCTCGCTATTGCCCCCTCAGGCCAAAGGTGTAACTGCAGCTTCAATAGTAGGCTCGTGCACGAGGCGCGCGTGCTATATGTGCACGCTCCCGATCAAAAACAGCTGCGTCAGCCCCGTACCGGTGTAATTTACAGGTTTGCCGGCATGACTTCGACAGAGGTAATAATTGTAAAATATTTAGACCAAATCAATTTGGGCTGCATATTTTCCAGGTTGTGATAGGTGCATGCATAGCAAAGTGAGTAGAGTGAGGAAGCATAATAATACCGATACATGAATACATTATGTATGATGTTGAAAAAAATACTAGTACACAAATTATGCATAAACGTAGGCCCTATTGTAATATTAAAATAATTGCACTGGTAGTTAATAAGCACTTTACTGGTTGCTACTTGACAAGTACAGGCCATTTACTAGAAAAAAAATCATGTGATGGACTGCTACTTTTTTTCTTTTACTAGAGTAAAAATACATAGAGGTACTGCTACTATAACTTGAGTGCACCTTTTGTGTACTCTACCCACCTCTGCTTTTCTTTTGCATCCAGGTAAAGATAGTCTTAGCAACATTATTTTCATCAAATGTAAATACAGCATTACCTAAATGTTTTATGGATTATTACAGCGAAGCGTTTGTAAAACATGCATTCCATCACATCAACGTGTAAGCCTTATTACTTTTCCTTCAAGGAATCCAGTGCATCTCATTACTCCGAAGTTTCTGAAGAGAGTAGTGATTCTGGAGGGGGCAGAGGGAGAGCAGGCAGAGGAGCAGGCAGAAGAGCAGGAAGAGGAGCAGGAAGAGGAACAAGGAGAGGAGCAGCCAGAGGGAGAAACATATATGAAAGTACAGGCCGGGGGAGAAGCCAGGCTAGAGGAAGAAGAGCTAGAGCTGGACGCATTAGTGAGGAAGACAGAGAACGGGTTGCTCAGATGTCTGCTGACAGAACTGCAGAGTTACAGGTTGGTCATAATGCAGAACACTAATACATTTCACAATCATAAAGTTTATAAAATAAATGCTGCCTTTCGTTTTCAGGCACAGTTGCAACACCTAAGTATGGATGAAAAAGATGAAGTCCTTCAGATGGTTGTTAGACGTCTGCCAGGAGTGTTACTGGACATTATGGACTATAGACAGGCCACACCAGGACACCCTCCATCAAACCAGGGTCAGCCAGCTTGGTGCACCTGCTCCTACTGCCGAATGATGCCTACAGACCTGGAAAACAAGTGCTGTAGACAGGATCCAGAATGGTGTTTGAGCAGGCGTGCTCATTTTAACCTGTACTGCATGGATGAAGGCATCCTGCGTTTGGCTCGGCAGACGTGGAATGACATTTTGGCTCTGCGTGATAGCCAAGACCCTGGATCAGATAATCGGGAGTACCGTTACTGTGCCTATAGACAGTACACTATTTGGCAATATGGACGTCTTAGCGCTGGCAATCGTAGGGTGATTCCTTCCTGCTGTGTTTGGAGGATTAGAGACAAATACCCTGACCACTTTGGGATTTATGTTGGTTATAAAGAAGCCCCCTTCCGCTGAAACAAACATGCGACTCATGACCAACTCAGAAGTTTGACTTACTTTTATTGTTGTTGCAAACTTTTTGTACATATTTACATAAATAAATCTGTAGTGTTCAACTTTGATTGCCATCAGCCTCTGTTTAGGTATCACATAACCCCCAAATTCCACTACCTCCGCTCCGGTCCGCCCAAGCCCTCCGCAGCCGCTCGCTTCCGAACTCAATTTTTACTGGTACCCGCTCTACAACGGCTCCGCTCCGGTGCGGAGACCTGAGGTGGGCAAACAGGCATGCGCGGGACTTTCGAGATCTTGCGATACAGTCCGAGCAATAAACGCGGAAGTTAGATCCAAACACCCGTTGTGTGGGAGAAGCATCGAAATGAACTGTTTAATCTGCCCATCATTTGTGTTGAGAGATCAGCAGTGTTTGGATCAACAAAGTGTGACTACTTTGATAGTGGAAACTGTATTTATGGCTTAATTTTGTGCATTTAAACTTCAGCCGCCATTGATAGTGGTTAAAAGTTGTTAAATCTGTGCATATGAAACAAAAAACGCCTTTTGTTTATCGATTTATTGTGAAATACGGAAATTGTGCTTGCTCCTTTTCCTGTTGGGCCGTTGTGATTTCTGTCCATTTACTGCGGAGGTGCTCCGGCGTCCGGCGAAAATAGGATCGATTCTATTTTTGCCGGACGCCGGAACAGAGGGCGGCGCACGGCGCCGCACTGCCGGAGCACGGCCGCAGTAGTGGAATTACTCTGATTGACTACAACGGGACCGATTTTGCTCCGGCGTTCGTGTCGGAGCGGAGCGCAGCGGAGCGGAGGTAGTGGAATTTGGGGGTAAGTCCTGTAAAAAACAAAAATTACATTTATGTAATTTTCTTCCACAAAAATGGAGAGGAGATTTGGTTATAATCACTACCTGTCCTCTGCGTTGTTGTGTCTGTACCAGTTCAGCTGTAGGAGGAGGGCTGATCCCGGAGAGAGGACCCAGGGCCCTGGGGTCATCAGCCTGAACGCTTCTTCTTTTTGGGAGTCCCCCAGCAGAGCTGAGGCGCTTCTCCAGGATTCTTGTCTGCAGCTCTGGGATGTAGCCGTAGTCTTTGGTCTCCTTTACAGTGTGAACACTGTAACGCTGCGACTTTTTGTTGTAGACTCGTTTGTGTCTAAAAAAATGAATTTAGACATTAGGAAATTATATAAAGGTATTATGAATATATAAAAGCCACCAAGTTTGACTTACGATACTTGGCCTTTGATGTTCACATGCACTGGGCGATGGTTATGGTGGTTGTAGTCTAATGCAGCGAGGAGTGTCCTAGCTTCATAGACACCAAATGAGAATGCAAAGCGTTTCCCGGCGTACATCAAGATGTGATTTTGGAACGACTCCAGCTCAGCAGTGGTCCTGGGGGAAAAAAACAATGTCTGTAGAAGAAATAAATTCTAACTCAGCGCAATATAATATACTTTGTGGTAGGTATTACAACATTACAGATACTGGAATCAGGGCAATACGAATCTAATGTCCTCATGTGTGTAGTTTACAGATAACAAGAACCAATACTAAAAATGTAGAAACTGCAGTATTTTCATCTAAAATATTAATTTTCAGATAAAATTTCATATTAGTGGTTGTTTATTTGTGTTTTACATTTTATCTAAATCTACTTCAATTGTAGCACCAGGCAGAGAAGACAATAAAACCGGTCTTCTGCTTCATTGCATTGTTTGGTGTGGTATAAGTAACTGTTATGGTACTTGTTATTGGAAAGAACTCAGATCCAAGTGCAGAGATTGTATTAGTTAGAAAAAAGCTGCATTGTTGTTTTCCAATTTTGTTTTACTGTTAGTAAGACAATAACTTTACATTTCCACCAAATGTCAGTAATTTACCTAAAGGTGAGCAACTTCTCTATATCCTTTAGCCATCGCTGGTTCAGAACAATCCGTGAAAGCGCCACATGTGCAGCAGATCCATGTGGAATGAGCTCTTTGTCTGGGTTCTCCGCCAAAGGAGCATGAAAGCACCTGCCAAAGCCCCATTCATGCTCTCCAGTCACGTGGTGAAGTACACCCTTCCAGACATCCTAAAAACACACAAAGTAGAAAATACAAACATTTACATCGTGAGTAGAAAAAGATAATGAACCATGGCAGCAAATATAAACAAAAACATTACATTAGTGGACAACTGTATACATGAATACTGTGTTTGTACAAACCATAAACTCTTCTCTGGTGCTTGTGTGCTGACAAGCATACCAAAAATGGTTAACAATGTCCTTGATCCATCCAAGTATAAGCTTTTGACCAGAAATCATTCCAACCTGTTTGAAGGCAAGAAAAACTAGTAATTAAAATAAAGTCTGAACAAGCCAGGATTATTACCATCATAATACATTTTGACATACAGCATGAAGTTTCTTTGTCAGATTTTTTGCGGCGTGCCAGACATCAAGCGAATGGGTAATAGCCTGATCCTTATATCTGCCCCTTTCTGGATCTGGTCAGAAAAAATTAAAAACAGTCTTTTAACAATCTGGTTTCCAATTACCAGTAAAAACTCTGAAGTTTTGTGAAAATCTTACGCATGAGAGCAGCAATTTGTACATGGGCATCAGTCACAATCTCCTTGATGTTCACCTCCTTTGTGAGACTGTCAAATGTCTGTATAAAGGCAGCCTTCTCCATGACCCCACTTTTATAGCCAACCCATCTTTTGTCCACATTGACAACACTGATGATGTCCATGGTGTCTAGATCCATCGTTGTGTATGTACAGCACATTGCTGAGTGACCTTTTTTTTAAGAGATACAGAAAATTGTAAAATAACAATGAAAAGAAATATTTCAACTGATCTTAAAATTAAATTTCAAAAAGCTTGTTCGTTACCTGGAGAGTCCATCCTCCCGTCAGCTAAAAAAGAAACACAGAAATATAAGCATGTAATGAATATGAGCCTTTACAAGTAAACATATTTAGTTACCAAGAGCAACCACGCGGTCTTTTGACTGCAGTTTCTTGATGATGGCATTCCTCTTCTCCTCCCAAAACTGCTGTATTGATTTTAAACAGTAGGTACCCTGGACTGAGTAGAAGGTTTTGGATGTCACCATGCGGATATTCATGAATCTGAACAGGAGAGCGATCTTGGAGAAGTTGTTCCCTGACAGCAGAATGTTTGTTGACAACATGAAATCTCCTCCTTGCATCCCATATTTCAGCTTTGGCTGGCTGTTCCAACTCCATAATTTATGTCCACGTGGGCAAAACTGTATTAAAATACAAACAAAACCAAAAAAAAGTGGAAATGGCGCTTCACACATATTTCACATTCCTACAGTTGTACTGCTTCCTCATTAACATAAGTGGCAAGCATTAGAACATAAACTCACCCACTCAATTATCAAAGCTGTACATCTCGGACGTGACTTTACATGAAAAGGAGGATGGCCATCACAATATGTGCCTGTGCTGTGGTCACTGTAGTGGCATTTACTGAGAGGCAGTTGGAGGAAATTAGCCATCTGGAGCAAGCTTTTGCTGTATGCTATGCACGCTTGCTGGTTTATGAGGTCACTTTCAACAAGCACTTGATCGTGTATTGGGAAAACTGGAATGGATGCTGCTGATGGTGCTTCTAAATTCTCTTCCAAATCTGCCTCCACACAATCAGCAATGTCAAATACAGCTTCATCCAGGCCAATGCTAGGAAGTTGGTCAACTTCATCCTGTGAGACACACCTATTGCACAAGATTTTTTTATATATATAATCAGTGAATAGAAAGTGAGAGTGGGGATGTTATTTAAAAAATTCAATTATGAAACATACCTTATTGATATTGGAGGTACATAATCTGAGTCATACGGGTCTAAAGCTCCTTCTCCTTCAAACTCTAATCTGGAATTAAATACAGCAGCAAAATATGACAATATATACTGACATATATCATTTCAATGACAATAATTTGTTACTTACAAACTGTTTTCCAACTATTGGCTCTTTCCTCGTCTAAATAGTCCACTTTCAGCTCCATCGATTTGATGCTACAAAAACAAACAGAATACATTAATTATGAAAACAGAGGGTATGCATCAATTGATTAAAAGCCCTGCATATTTACCTTTCCTCCAACAATTCTACCTCTTGATCTGCTTTTAGAGGTTCAACTCCTGCGATCTGGAAGTCATCCCTGTTGACAAGTACACAGTATTTATTTTATTTGATGTGGAGAACAATTATCTGACATATGAGTTGCATTTTGTTTACAAGTGAACTTACCTATCAGATTCCCCTGCAGTTACTGAACTGGGGCGACAAGGACCTGCAAACACTGCTGTAGATGGCCCACGTGGTGTTGATGTAAGTGGTCCCTTTGATGAAGCGTGCTTCTCATAACTAAAAAAGTAAAGCAACTTTCAATACTCCAGTCATGTGTACACGTTAACAATTGAGATTCTGTTATATAAACAATAGATTTGATTAGCGACGCAGTTTTACAAAGTTTAGACTTCTTTTACACAATTCTAGTACATTACACTAACAATATACTGTAATTTCCGGCCTAAAAGCCACTATTATTTCCCTGTGCTTTGAAGCCTGCAGCAAATATCATGGTGCGGCTCTAAACTTGCAGGCACGTTCACCCGTGTTTAAAATTCGTTTTTGTGAATTAAAACAACAACGAAAAAATTCCGTGTAGCGTCTTTCTGTCTAATTATCTTGTGTTATGGCCAAACATGCGCTGTGCGCCAGCTTGTATTTGGGTGCTGGTGTGTAGAAAACACTTTTTTTTTTTTGCTGATGCGGCTGGAAATAGGTAATCTGATGTGTAGACGCTAGACAAGCAGCCTATAATTGTTATGATATACGGAAACCCCCCATCTTACTTTGAAAGCATCCACAGCCCTTTCCCCACACGTGTTTAGTAATAATTTCTTACCTTTTCAGCAAAAATGATGCCAGCTGCGGGTGTGTTTTCATCCTGAGAGACTTTCTCAGCATTTTCCACTCCTCAAATGCTGGACCGATATTTATCCTCGTTCGTTGCCTTCGGCGATCATACTCGAGTTTTGCCCGTTTACCTGCACTGGAATACACTCTTCTTGGTTTCTTTGACTTGTTTGGGGTCTGGGCTGGAGTTCCGCTAGTGCTTGAAGCAGCTCTCTTCTTGTTCTTTGCTGAATCCATGCTAGCTAAACCACCTCTCGCTCTGCCGCTAAGCTATCGCTAGTAAACAAACGCTGCGGGGATAGGCCTGAGCATGAACGCGCATGACGTCATCACGCATTACGCTGCCTCTGGAAGACCCGGGGGAAGCCTGCCTGCTGGACCCGAGCAAAATCTTATTTTTGATTTTAAAGACCTATAGAGACAATCACAGTAAAATGCCAGGGCTCATTCTACAGAACCAGGGCATTGCAGGAGAATGTTTTAAGAAGAAATGTTTTATTTCTATACATGTTCTGGCTGTAAAACTTGCCTATAGTCCCTTTAAAGGCGGCGTTCTACACAAACCTCTGGGGTGGCTTATAACTTGGCTTCTGAATGTCTCAGAGAGGTCAGGTTTGTTTTAGGGTACTCCAATCAACAGCCCCTATTACTCCAAAAAAGAATGGAGTCATTAGCACTCGTGGTTTTTAAATGGCACCCAGAATTATGTTGCACGAAGCACAATTTCACATCATTCTGGGTCCATTTGTGTGAAAACAAGGTCCGACCAGGCTGAAACGTTACAGGAAGGTAGAATCTATAGAGTTGTAAGTGATCTGAACGTTTCATGATGATCGCACATTCCTATGGGGTTCAAACCATGTCCCAAAGGTCACCGGGCCTGGTGTCACTTTAAAGAAGTAGTCCAGTTACACAGTTGTGGGCTTATAACTTTTCTTCTGATTTTCATAGAGAAATCAGGTTTATTTTAGAGTACTCCAATTAACAGCCCCTACAACCCCAAAAAGGAATGAAGTCATTAGCACTTATGGTTATTAAATGGCACCCAGAATTATGTCGCACAAAGCACAATTTCACATCATTCCGGGTCCATTTCTCAGAAAAAAACTTCAATCAGGCTGAAACGTCACAGAAAAGTAGAATCTATTGAGTTGTAAATGATTCCTGTGTTTCATGATGATAGCACATTCCTAAGGGGGTAGAGTTAGGTCATAAATGTCACCGGATCACTTGTTCCTTAAAGGCGGTGTTCTAAACACACATTTGGGGGCTTATAACTTGGCTTCTGAATGTCTCAGAGAGGTCAGGTTTGTTTTAGGGTACTCCAATCAACAGCCGCTATTACCCCAAAAAGGAATGGAGTCATTAGCACTTATGGTTTTTAAATGGTACCCAGCATTATGTCCTACAAAGCACAATTTCACATCATTCTGGGTCCATTTCTCAGAAAAAAGCTTTAATCAGGCTGAAACATCACAGAACAGTAGAATCTATTGAGTTGTAAATGATTCCTGTGTGTCATGATGATAGCTCATTCCTACGGGCGTCAAATCAGGTCATAAATGTCACCGAGTCACTTGTTCCTTAAAGGCGGTATTCCAAACACACATTTGGGGGCTTATAACTTTGCTTCTGAATGTCTCGGAGAGGCCAGGTTTGTTTTAAGGTACTCCAATCAACAGCCCCTATTACCCCAAAAAGGAATGGAGTCATTAGCTCTTATGTTTTTTAAATGGCACCCAGAATTATGTTGCACGAAGCACAATTTCACATCATTCTGGGTCCATTTGTGTGAAAACAAGGTCCAATCAGGCTGAAACATTACAGAAAGGTAGAATCTATTGAGTTGTAAGTGATCTGAACATTTCATAATGATAGCACATTCCTAAGGGGGTCAAACCATGTCCCAAAGGTCACCGGGCCTGGTGTCACTTTAAAGAAGTAGTCCAGTTACACCTTTGTGGGCTTATAACTTTTCTTCTGAATGTCCTAGAGAGGTCAGGTTTATTTTAGAGTACTCCAATTACCAGCCCCTATAACCCCAAAAAGGAATGTAGTCATTAGCACTTATGGTTTTTAAGTTGCACCCAGAATTATGTTGCACGAAGCACAATTTCACATCATTCTGGGTCCATTTGTGTGAAAACAAGGTCAAATCAGGCTAAAACGCTACAGAAAGGTAGAATCTATTGAGTTGTAGTGATCTGAACGTTTTATGATGATAGTACATTCCTAAGGGGGTCAAACCATGTCCCAAAGGTCACCGGGCCTGGTGTCACTTTAAAGAAGTAGTCCAGTTACACATTTGTGGGCTTATAACTTTTCTTCTGAATGTCCTAGAGAGGTCAGGTTTGTTGTGGAGTATACCAATTAACAGCCCCTATAACCCCAAAAAGGAATGGAGTCATTAGCACTTATGGTTATTAAATGGCACCCAGAATTATGTCGCCCAAGCACAATTTCACATCATTCCGGGTCCATTTCTCAGATAAAAGCTTCAATCAGGCTGAAACGTCACAGAAAAGTAGAATCTATTGAGTTGTAATTGATTCCTGTGTTTCATGATGATAGCCCATTCCTAAGGGGGTCAAGTTAGGTCATAAAGGTCACCGGATCACTTGTTCCTTAAAGGCGGTAATCCAAACACACCTTTGGGGGCTTATAACTTGGCTTCTGAATGTCTCAGAGAGGTCAGGTTTGTTTGAGGGTACTCCAATCAACAGCCCCTATTACCCCAAAAAGAAATGGAGTCATTAGCACTGATGGTTTTTAAATGGCACCCAGAATTATGTTGCACAAAGCACAATTTCACATCATTCTGGTTCCATTTGTGTGAAAACAAGGTCCAATCAGGCTGAAACGCTACAGGAAGGTAGAATCTATTGAGTTGTAAGTGATCTGAACGTTATATGATGATAGCACATTCCTAAGGGGGTCAAACCATGTCCCAAAGGTCACCGGGCCTGATTTCACTTTAAAGAAGTAGTCCAGTTACACATTTTTGGGCTTATAACTTTTCTTCTAAACATCCTAGGGAGGTCAAGTTTGTTTTAGAGTACTCCAATTACCAGCCCCTACAACCCCAAAAAGGAATGGAGTCATTAGCACTTATGGTTTTTAAATGGCACCCAGGATTATGTCGCACAAAGCACAATTTCACATCATTCCGGGTCCATTTCTCAGAAAAAAGCTTCAATCAGGCTGAAACATCACAGAAAAGTAGAATCTATTGAGTTGTAAATGATTCCTGTGTTTCATGATGATAGCACATTCCTAAGGGGGTCAAGTTAGGTCATAAAGGTCACCGGATCACTTTACCTTAAAGGTGGTATTCCAAACACACCTTTAGGGGCTTATAACTTGGCTTCTGAATGTCTCAGAGATGTCAGGTTTGTTTGAGGGTATTCCAATCAACAGCCCCTATTACCCTAAAAAAGAATGGAGTCATTAGCACTTATGGTTTTTAAATGGCACCCAGAATTATGTTGCACGAAGCATAATTTCACATCATTCTGGGTCCATTTGTGTGATAACAAGGTCCAATCAGGCTGAAACGTTACAGGAAGGTAGAATCTATTGAGTTGTAAGTGATCTGAACATTTCATGATGATAGCACATTCCTAAGGGGGTCAAACCATGTCCCAAAGGTCACCGGGCCTGGTGTCACTTTAAAGAAGTAGTCCAGTTACACCTTTGTGGGCTTATAACTTTTCTTCTAAATGTCCTAGAGAGGTCAGGTTTGTTTTAGAGTACTCCAATTAAAAGTCCCTATAACCCCAAAAAGGAATGGAGTCATTAGCACTTATGGTTATTAAATGGCACCCAGAATTATGTCGCCCAAGCACAATTTCACATCATTCCGGGTCCATTTCTCAGAAAAAAGCTTCAATCAGGCTGAAACGTCACAGAAAAGTAGAATCTATTGAGTTGTAATTGATTCCTGTGTTTCATGATGATAGCCCATTCCTAAGGGGGTCAAGTTAGGTCATAAAGGTCACCGGATCACTTGTTCCTTAAAGGAGGTAATCCAAACACACCTTTGGGGGCTTATAACTTGGCTTCTGAATGTCTCAGAGAGATCGGGTTTGTTTGAGGGTACTCCAATAGACAGCCCCTATTACCCCAAAAAGAAATGGAGTCATTAGCACTTATGGTTTTTAAATGGCACCCAGAATTATGTCGCACAAAGCACAATTTCACATCATTCCGGGTCCATTTCTCAGAAAAAAGCTTCAATCAGGCTGAAACATCACAGAAAAGTAGAATCTATTGAGATGTAAATTATTCCTGTGTTTCATGATGATAGCACATTCCTAAGAGCGTCAAATCAGGTCATAAAGGTCACCGGATCACTTGTTCCTTAAAGGCGGCGTTCTAAACACACCTTTGGGTGCTTATAACTTGGCTTCTGAATGTCTCAGTGAGGTCAGGTTTGTTTTAGGGTACTCCAATCAACAGCCGGTATTACCCCAAAAGGAATGGAGTCATTAGCACTTATGGTTTTTAAATGGCACCCAGAATTATGTTGCACAAAGCAAAATTTCACATCATTCTGGGTCTATTTGTGTGAAAACTAGGTTCAATCAGGCTGAAACGTGACATGAAGGTAGAATCTATTGAGTTGTAAGTGATCTGAAAGTTCCATGATGATAGCACATTCCTAAGGGGGTCAAACCATGTCCCAAAGGTCACCGGGCCTGGTGTAACTTTAAAGAAGTAGTCCTGTTACACCTTTTTGGGCTTATAACTTTTCTTCTAAACATCCTAGAGAGGTCAAGTTTGTTTTAGAGTACTCCAATTACCAGCCCCTACAACCCCAAAAAGGAATGGAGTCATTAGCACTTATGGTTATTAAATGGCACCCAGGATTATGTCGCACAAAGCACAATTTCACATCATTCCGGGTCCATTTCTCAGAAAAAAGCTTCAATCAGGCTGAAACGTCACAGAAAAGTAGAATCTATTGAGTTGTATTTGATTCCTGTGTTTCATGATGATAGCACATTCCTAAGGGGGTCAAGTTAGGTCATAAAGGTCACCGGATCACTTGTTCCTTAAAGGCGGTAATCCAAACACACCTTTGGGGGCTTATAACTTGGCTTCTGAATGTCTCAGAGAGGTCAGGTTTGTTTGAGGGTACTCCAATCAACAGACCCTATTACCGCAAAAGGAATGGAGTCATTAGCACTAATTGTTTTAAATGGCACCCAGAATTATGTTGCACAAAGCACAATTACACATCATTCTGGGTCCATTTGTTTGATAACAAGGTCCAATCAGGCTGAAACGTTACAGGAAGGTAGAATCTATTGAGTTGT